GCAGATTGAAGGAACAGAGCTGGGGGAGCCTGCCAGTGCCAGATCACCCCCAGAGCCATTCCCAAGAGGGTCCTGCTGCTGATTCCACTGGACCCTGGATGCTGTTGTTTGGGCCACTGCCCTGGCTGGCACTGGACGCCACACCGTGCCCCCGGTCCAGGGCTCTGCTGCGCCCTGCACTGCTGTGGTCAGACCAATTCTCCTTGAGTCCCCATCCCTCCGCATCACCGGCCTCAGATCACAGAATCCAGAGTGTGTGTTTCCAGTGGTCCTACGTTGGCTCATACCTGTGTCCAGAGGTCTGCCTACACTGAGACTCACAGAGCAGAAAATTCTCCAAACAAAGGAAAGTGGTGTACATCCTAGGCAGCCAAAAAAATGTCATGTGTCCACTCCAGGCAGGGCTGGTTAGGCTGTTGTTGATGGGCTGAAATGGAGCTAAAGTTGCTTGGTAGACACACCCTGAAGTTGTTCAGGGGGCCCGTCCTGAGAGCCATTTCAGAACTGAGGTGTTCTCTGTTAGCAGAAATGGACATTTAAACCCTTGGTTTTATTGTGACTTTGTGTTTTATTTTCTTTAATTTGCTATTCCTGATAATGAACTGGCCCGGGAAAATGTTGCATTAGTCTAGTAGAAACTCTGCCTTTATGCAGTGAATACAAACATTCCCTGCTGTGTTTATTTGAAATAGGAGCAGGCATTTTCTATATTTTAGTGGCATATGGTGCTAAGATTTTATCAGACTTTCTTCTAAAGAGCCAGGAAACTTTCTCTGCTTAAAAATGTGTGTTTATAAACAATAGGCTTGCAGTGAATATTCCCATCTGTTAGGTGAGCATAATTTGTGTAGGAATTCCTATAATAGGTGGAGTGCTTTGCAACTTTTTTGTATATTTTTTCCCTGGCGAGACATTAGACTAAAGAGACGGTACAGAACAGCATATGCCTAATACTCAATTTTGTATCTGCTCCTCCCTGTGGTTTGAAAACACTGCTATTTTTGTGCATCAGTACATAGGGTTATTGTAGGAATTCATAAGAATTTAAAATCTCTTTAGGGTCCTGCAACAGGAGGAAAATGGAATGGATAACAATTATATAATTGTGGAAATGTTGCAGAGGTGATGCTCTTTGTGTGGTTTTTCAAATACGCATTCCTGTGACTTGTGTTATTTCATTTCCAGAAACCTGTGTTGACTTTGTTTCAGCTTAATCTCAAAACTCCTCTTCATTATAGCCACAGTTACCTGACAATCGAAGCTGCTCACCCCTCTTGGGTCTTGGTTTGTGATTTAAATCAGTGGCATTGACTCTTTGTGTTCAGGTTGATATTATTCTGATTATCCACACTAATTAATTTTGCGTTTGAGATGAGCCATTCCTCAGAATAGAATAAAATTTTGAAGATTAAAACTCAGCAATATTTTTTCATAAAAGATTTTATTAATCTTGTCACGGGAATATCAAGATGGTTATCAGAGGGAAAACATACTTTGATTAATATTTGCTCAGTGCTGAATTACCTATATTGTCTAAGTGTTTTATTCACTTAAAAATTATGCCTTTAAGTTCCTTTTTCAGGTTGACTAATTGGACATACTTGAATAAAAAGATGAGCAATCAGTTGAATGTAAGTGATTTCAAGCTATACTTAGGAACTGAGCCCAGAAAACATACCATATGCGGTGCTTTTTCCCTGATTTTTAAAAGTTTCTGATTATCCTTTGTTAGGAGAAGTATTTTTAAATTAAAGATAACTGTTAATGGAACCTCTTTGTAAGGAAGGGTAGCATCACTCAGTTTTCTCTTTTTTGGAGGAGAGGCTACCATTCAGCTGGGGTTCAGCTCTCATTTCTTGTTTGTGGTAAGCCCCTTCCCATGCGTGAAAAGATCCAGGTCTCAGCCTTATTCCTGGTTTGTTTGTGAACATGGCCTAGAAACCAATTAATGGACTCTCTTAGGTATTGTGAAAGGTTGGGACTCCGAAGCTATAAAACTCACTTCAAGTGGTCCTTGGTTATAAATCTTAGTTGCTTGTGGATTTCAAAACATCCTAAGTTATAAAACTAACCATAAAAGTAGGGCTTTTATGGAAACTGTATCTTCTAAGTACATTTTTTTCTTCTATGAAATGTTACTGAAGTTTTTGGAAAGGCATTGCTTTGAAGGATGACAATTACTTACAGTCACAGGAATGGAAAATACAAGTGAGGTCACTTTTCAGTTATCCAGAACATTTTTAAAGTTAACGTCAGACCATGTGTGGAGAAGTAGGCAGGCAAGGGAAGTATGTGATTTGTGTTGGGGGGGGGGGTCTACAACAGTGGGTGGGGAAGGGGGCTGTGTCCCTGCTCTCTGCCTCGATGACACCTGTGTCTCATCCTGAAAGTGTTTGACACTTTCACATGACACATTATATAACAATTGTAGCCAGTTCTGGAAATAACTTTTAGAAGTTCTGATAGAATTATAATACTTTTTGTTGAAAGGTCTAGTTTACATGTAATGACCTTCAGCTGTTTAACATTTGTCATTTATTCAGCTAGGCATGTGTGATAGGTACTCCATGCGTGGCATCGTGCTGCGCGCCAGGGGCACAGTCATGAACAAGGCAGGTCTAGAGCCTAGTTGCATGTGCCGCTGACCGCCTAGCTGGGGAGACAGACAACGATTACATAATCTCGCAAATAAATTGCATTTGGGTTAAGCGTGTTGGCCAGAGAAGGACTGCATAGACAGCATACCAAAAATACTTGGTGAGCACTTGCAGAACGTGATGCTGGAACTCCTCTAGATACAGAACCATTAATACTTGTTTTTGGTCTTTGGCAGGTACACTATCCTGTCTTTACAGAGACTCGATGCTGGGTTTTACCGCTGTGTGGTGCGAAACAGGATGGGAGCTCTCTTGCAGAGAAGATCAGAAGTTCACGTCGCATGTATGTGTGCATTGGAAAAGTCTCCAAATGATGAATAACAGAAACAAAGTGTCTGTGGGGAATGCTGATCAGAATCACTTTTAACTGTTGTAGGAATTGAGATTCTGTCTTGGACTCTCTTTGGAATAGAATCATTGCTAAAATTGGTTGGGAGATAAGTGAATAGCCAGTGTAGCTGGCCCGATGATGGTGATGGGGCTAATGAGGCAAATACCACTCTTAAAATTCAACAGCCAGGGGCTCTATCAGGTACTGCGGAGGGCAAAAAGACATAAAAAATTAGCAGAATGCCTTCTGTTTTATGAATTAGCTGCTCTTAGCTTTTATTATCATTGTTATGTTCAGATTCAAATGTTTGTCAAATACAAAATTAAACCCAATTAGATAAAATTTCTTCATTTCATAATCAGTTCTTTCCAGTGATTTGTTTAGAAATCCTTTAGCTGCACAGTAAAAAGTACAAGGGTAGTGACGCCCTAGACGGTATTATTGTCTGTCCTAGATGGACTTGATGGGTCCTCTGTAGACACGATCCATTTTAGAGAATGCGGCCTCCGAAAGTAACTGAAGGAGACACCAGAGTGCAGGGAGTTTGCCTGGCCTTGGCAGGAGTTGGAGAGACAAGCTGGCCTGCAGAGAGCACTTCATACTTTTCTGGTCCAGAATCTGGGAAGGGTAGAGTCCTTCTAAAATGGCCTGTCCCTTTGTTAACATTTTGAGTTTACCACCAAAACGTCTTTTCATTCAAAACAAAGCAGGCAGTGTTATGCAACTTTACATTGTATATTTATATAACAAATTGGAGAGAACTTAAGAGCTCCTAAACTGGGCCATCCCAACCACCAAAGACAGTATTTTCTTATTTGTTATTTTGACCACAGGTAAGGCCTGTAAGTCAGTGTATCGAGTTGAATAATTTCTATTTACTCTCCTATTCTGCAATTACCAGTGACTGAGTGAGGTGCTGTTGCTCTACACGTTTAGTTATGTTTTTAATTACTAGGAAAACTTAACTTTTCTGAATTGTGGTGAAGTCACTCAGCTAAATCTTACTGCAGGATAATTTGGAACCTCTATTCAATTGAATAATTGAAAAGATAATTAATAAATATGAATTTCAGTTCAGTACCCCAAACATATTTGAATAAGTTAACAGCTTGGAATTTATTGTAATGTATTAAATTCTATTAAATAAAATTAAATTTTGGGCTTTTTCTTGGTTAATTATTTATATCCTTGTTTCTAGAAATTTATTTAGATTTTCTTCTCTTTTCTCCTTCTATTTGATAACGAGTTTCACTTCACTTTAAAAATAACCGTGACTGTTCTCCTAATCTGTTTCATCTTCTAGAATATTAAATGCTGCTTGTTAGATAGGAAATAATTTCCTCTGAATAAAAAATCCATTGATAAAAGAGCTTTTCTATGGACTGTTCCAAATTAAATGCATTCAGACAAACGTACAGCACATAAGTCATATCTGTGTGTACACACATATAACGGTCTTTAATCCTAACATAGACATTTTTCAAAAATTTTAAATGTTACTAATTTAAAAATTGGCGCCTTATACCCACATTCTAATGACTGTTTTTTTTTTTTTTTCCCGTGACCCCATTTCTTAAAAATGTTGTTAGCGAGTAGCATGAGAGACTGAGACAGAGCCTACCTGCACCCGATTAAGTCAACAGTATGGGGTTTGGAGAACCCTGTAAAAACAAGTTCGTGGCTAAACAAAAAATATCTCTCCCAAAAGACCTGTTAGGGAGACAGTCCCCCCAGCAATGGAAGGGAGAAAGTGAACAGGGCACTGGTGGCCGCCTAGGTGGAACTAGTTTGAGACCGAGTCGGCGGCGTGTGGCTACAGGGCAATTCTTCCCCGTCTCTGTGGCAGTGGGCCCCCTCTCGGTAGTTTATTCCAGTATTCAAATCAGAAGCAAACGTTTCATTGCGTTGTTGAAGTGACCGAGACTCTGAAGTTCTGCTGATGAATGCATTTCGTGGGCATTCGGGGGTCACGTGGTGCGGCCTCATGCTTCACTTCGCCACCAGACCTGCGCTCGTCAGCACTGCAGATTCTTCTGGCTTAGTGTTTAATTAAAGCACCATCGGTGACTTTGCTGTATTATAGTTATTTCCATCTTTGACCCTCCCCCCCCAAAGAAAGAGTTTTCTAGAACTCAAACGGTCTCATTTTTCTCTGCAGATATGGGAAGCTTCATGGACACAGACCAGAGGAAAACGGTTTCGCAAGGACAGGCAGCAGTTCTCAACTTACTGCCCATCAGCAGCTGCCCCAGGCCTCAGGTCACGTGGTTTAGAGAAGGGCACAAGATCGTTCCCAGCGGCAGAATGTAAGTTGCTCTGAGCTTTAAAATTCACTTCCCACTGGTTGGCGCCGTTTACATATTACTTAATGAAGTTCACTGTATCCATTAAGCCCTGAGGAGAAGGATCAGGTCTCTCAGGCCTCCCCCAGGCCTTTCCCAGCAGCTGTTTGGAGACCTGGCTGGGAAATGGCTCAGCAGTTTGAGGAAATCGTCCTGTAGTTACTTTTCCAGAGCGTCGCCCACCCTGAGTAAAGCCTCCTTGCTTGGTCCTTAATGGTCCCTTTTTCCCTTTCTTGAATGCACTTTTTTAAGATGTCATTGTCATCCCCGAGTCGTGTTTAGCTCCAAGTGCTAATTTAATGAGCTCTCGTACTTACTTACAGAGCTGTGGGTTTTTTTTCCCTCTTTTTACTGAACCATGTTTGATACCACTTTTTCTGACGATAAAACAGTAATTACTGCTTATTTCTCTTTATCCTTTTATCCTGCCGTGACAGTTTTATTTCTCTTCGTCTAATTAGTGGTTCACCATCTATTGCAGAATACTGCTTTGTGATTAGTTAAGCATTATTTCAAGGTGTTCCTGCCTATCCCACATTCAAGGTATTTATCTAATGCCAAACAGATTTTCTTCATTTAGAGCTTTAAGTGATTAAACGAGAACGTTTCGTGTACATTTCATAGCTGGGCATTTTGCAGTACAATTTAAAGTTAATACCCAAATATAAACATTGCAGGGATGGTCATTTCTGAAAGAGTCATGAAATGCTGTAAGCTGAGCTAAATGTCAAGTCCTTAGGCCGTCAGATGGCTGCACTCAAACAAAGATTCATGAGAAGAAAATGCTTCGTTTTTTAGTCTGTTTTTCCACAAAGGATACATATATAACACAGTTTGCTGAGTAGGTTTTAAATGTAACTCCAAAAGTCATTGCGGGGTGTAGCCTTGCTTTCTCCCCTGCCTGCCCATCCACAGATCCCTTCTCCAGGCCAGCTGCCATGCTCTCCCAGCTGGGCCTCTGGACCTGCTTCACCCCATGAAGTCCATTTAACAAATTCTTCTATTTTTGTTATTGGAAACAGGAAGACTGTTGAAATGTATAAAGGGCATATTTAAAAATGGTAGTGGGGCACCTGGATGGCTCAGTCGGTGAAACATCAGATTCTTGACCTCAGCTCAGGTCTTGATGTCACAGTTGGTGAGTTTGAGCCCTGCATTGGACTCTTTGCTGACAGCTTGGAGCCAGCTTCAGATTCTGTGTCTTCCTTGCTCCCTGCCCTCCCCCGCTCATGCTCTATCTCTCTTTCTCTCAAAAATAAAAAAACATTTAAAAAATTTAAAGAATTAAAAAAATTAAAATGTTAGTAAAAAAGTAATTACCTTAGAAAATGGGAAACTGCTTTCCTTTTTCATTATTTTGTTAAGAGTTGCTTGCGCGTCCACCTTTATAGTGATTCCAGTGATAACAAATGCCTCTTGAGGTCGGTGAAACGAACAGGGATCAATTTTTCATTCTTTTAGAAGCCTGTTAGGCTGAACAAAAGGCAGCTGAGATAGACTCCGGTGAAATATTCTGGAGTGTTCTAGCACTGAACACAGTATGACTGGGCTGGTTTGGGAAGAGTGCTGGGAAGAGAAGGTCCCGGGGAGGCTGAGTAGATCGAATCAAGCTTCTCCATCACTGGAGTTTCCAGTTTACGTCAATGGGAGCACAGTCCACGGTGGAAGGACTAGTTCAGAGTAGCAAGTAGCCATTTGGCAATTTGTTTATTGACTTGTGGTCTAGCTGTCAGCATTTATTCGAGAAGTATGAAAGGAGATAAAGTGAAATAGCAACTCTTAACTTTATAAGCTTTTCCTGTTTTACTTGCAGATTCTTGCCAAAGACTGTTTAATTCCTGGTGAGCTAATAATGTAAAGACACTAAGTAGGCTTTAACTTGGTGTCACTTCAAACAAACGGTCTGCGAAGCTATTGATAAAGCTCCAATGTCAGTAGAATAATATGCTGGTAATCCTTTTTTTTTTTTTTTTTTTTTTTTTTAGATGAGATGAGGCTGATTAGGGATATTTACACATTTGCAAGGCCCTTCAGTTTCATATTTTCCACTTCATCATCACCTCCATATTTATTAAGTACCTGCTGTGCAAGACCTCGTAAATCAGCGTGCGTGTGGTTTTCTCCGTGAGTTTATACATCGTTCAGAGACCCCATGCTTTCCACTTCTAAGGAAGTTCGGCTTTGCAAGGCAGTTGGAAGGGCATTTCTTCAGGGCCCCTGTCTGGATGGTTGGCAGATAAGTCAGATGGCATTAGATCTGTTCTGTGCCACCAAAGGTGTCATTTAAAAATGGAAACGTTTGGCTCAAAGTGTTTCATTCATGTTGAAACAGGTCAAGCTTCTGTACCTACTGTAACCTGATTATCTGTAGTCCGTTCATAACACAGTGTGAGGGGATGGGGGGACAGGTGGCCCTTGGCCATGGGGAGGAGGAGCCTGGTCTCGCCAATCCCACCCCCTAATTTTTTAACATTACCATGGGACCTTCAAAATGTGAGCTTTTGGCTTACGATTTAATGATTCTTTTTTTCATTTTCAAGGGAAAAAACAATTTTAACAATGATTCCTGACTTGAAAAGTTAGTTGAATAGCCTATTAATAATGTTAACAGCAGCTGTTACTGATTGGAGGCCTCCTTGAATGTGATACCATGTCCTCCCCTATCCTCACACTTGCTGTCAGCTGTGCTTGGAGCTCTCCGGCTGCAGATCGGAGACGCTGGCCATCCTGCCCAAGGGCACACAGCTGACCGTGGCCAGGCTGGGCTCCGCCCCAGGTCTGTCTGCATCAGGCTAATGAGTCTTTTCATTTGATCTTGCCAAACCCTCTTCATGCTTTTGAGCTATTTTTCCCATACACTAGTTTTATTTCTATTTCTCCCTTTTTAGAATGTCAGCCTTCAGTGTGAAATGCTACAGGCTTCTGTGAGCCACAGGCCCGCACGACCCGTGTGCCCACATAGCCCTGAGTGTGCCTGTGAGGTGCTGTTTATATATGTTCCCCTGTGTTGGGTCTCCAAGTCCCTAACTTGAGAAATTTTTGACAAAAGAGAAGGCAAATGTGGTTTTCCAGTTAAGGCATGGGCCTTTCAAAATTCCGAGGCCTAGTGGGCGATGGGGTGGAAATGAGGTCTGTGTAGCACAGGGTGAGGGGCAGCAAGAAATGGAGGCCCATTGCCCTGTGCCGAGCCCAGCACCCTGTCACCAGCAGCCTCTCGGCTCCTGAACTGCATACTTGTTGAAGGAGGAGGCTTAGTTCGTGGGGTGAAAGGAGCAGCAAAAATTCATCACCATCCTGAAAAAGGGGCCGAAGTGAGTGTCCCAGTGGCAGACGTGAGCTGTTTCACATTCACAGGAGAAGGAGGCTACGTGGAAAACTCACAAAGTTCTGATTGCACTTTGGGCTTTTCCCCCAAGTCATTCATTGAGAACTTACCGAGGGCCTGACACCAGTATGGTTCCAGGCACTGACAGTGCCGCGGGAAACCAAAGAAAAGGCCCTGTCCTCAGGGAGGAAGGAAAGGTGATTGACCAGCTGGTGAAACGGAGAGGAGAAAATAAAGCAGGGCACCGAGTGGGGAGCATGAAGGTTGGGTGGGTTGCTGTTTTTGACATGGAATCAGAGAAACCCTCTCAGATAATAACCAGAGACCTTGGAGCAGAGACCTGAATGATTCAGGGGAGGGAGCCTGGGTGTAAGTCAGGGAGAAGAGCACGTGAGGTAGGAGAATGGCCAGGGCGTTGGAGGAGCAGCCAGGGTGGGGTGAGGGGACAGGCTGGAGATGGACTTTTGGAGGTGGCTGAGCCTGAGTCCTAGGAAAGTTTACTTAGCCACAGTGAGGACTTCGGTGCTTGCTCTGAGGATCTGAGCAGACCAGCCATGCAGTCTTCCCTGTGACTCTGCCATTAGGAATGATGTTCAGAATGGACTGTAGGGCAGCAGTAGGAGGCTTGTGAGGGACTCGCTGCGCTAGTTGAGGTGGCTCAGATCTGGAGGTGTGGAGAGGGGTGGTGAGAAGTGACAGATGCTCGTCTCTTCTGCATGTAGAATGGATAGATCTATGCTGGATCGGATGTGAAGTATGGGAGGAGGAAGGGAGCTATGGAAAATCCAAGAATTCTGGCCCAAGCAACTGATAGGTTGGAGTTACCATTTCCTGAATTGGAGAGAGGTGTGGAGGCAAACAAGTTTTGTGTATATTGGGGAGACATTGGTGGTGGCAACTGAAATTTGTTTTGTACGTGTTTGAGGTGCCTAGCAGGTGGTTGCGAGGATGCAGTCATGAGGTGGTTGAATATATCAGACTCAAGGTCTGCAGCAAAGCAGAGGCTAAACTGGGGGGTTGTTGCTGTGTTATTTAAAGCTCTCTAAAGTTCCATGTGACAACATAAGCCAGTAAGTGGAACCCAGAGGCTTCCATCTTATTGCTGAGATGCTCTTGGTGTCACAGAGGATGACCGTGCACTGGAGTAGTCAGAGATGCACAAAACCAAGCTGGTAGAAGAAGGGGACAGGGTGGCACTGGGGTGTTGCCAAGGAGCAAGGAGTGAGTCAGCACTTGAATGGCTTCCCAAGCATGTGAGGTCCTATCCTGGAACGTGTGGTCACATCAGCCCACACAGCAGAGGAGATGTGAGGCTGCAGAAGCAGGAGGGGACTGGAAAGGTGGGGAGGTGGGACAAGGGAGAAAAGGCGAAGTCTCATGGCTGGTGCTGTTGGGGTCAGTGCCAGTGCCCTCCGACCCGGCACTGGCCGGCCGTCAGCAGCTTTCTCTCGTCTCACCTTCAGACGTGAGGTGGTGAGAGTCACGACCCTGCGTGGCACGTGTACACCGTCTCCTCAAGAGGCATCAGCCTCCCCTGGGTGCTGGCTGTCTATGGCATCCTTGTTCTTAGAATTATGTCTTGTTCAACAGATAAGCACCCCTGGAATGGCTGGGTGAGTGAAGAAGTGTGAAGAAAAGT